TTCAGGATATTTTTTGACAAGAGGCTTTTTAACAACTGCACGTAATTTGTTTGCATTATCGCGCACCGCTAAATGGTTGTTCTTAGGATGCAATGGCTAATTTAGGGCATTTTTCAATTATATATATATATATATATATATATATATATATATATATATATATATATATATATATATATATATAGAAACGCAAGAATGAATTACATTTACTGAAGTTCTACGCACTGATATAATGAATACAGTGTTATAATGTGCGTGGTCAAATCTGTTTGAAGTAAAAGCCAGAAGTATGTTCATCATCATCATCATCATCATCATCATCATCATCACCGCCATATTTAAAGCTCCGATCCAAGGTTTACCGATTTGATGGTACTAATTATTACATCAATATTACCACAAACTCTCTGGCGCGCTTTGGTGCAGCAAAGGATTATTTTTCATTGAAAGGGATATTGTGCATTTTGATATAGGTACATGCGCTGCTCGGGTCTATTGCGCGTGTCGAATCATTGCATAGAGAACTTAGCGTGCCGCTTCGCAGCCTTTAGTGATTTCACGAAGGCCACGCGTCTTGAAAGAGACATCACTGCAATGTAAGTTTAGATCGAGGCCTGGAAGGCCTACAGTTTAAGCATTCGTTTGTAAATACTTTGTTAATGCATGCAACTCTCCAAGTGCTGCTCTTGAATAGAATGGAGATCACATCTCATTGATATTTGTTAATATAATTAATAAAGTAAATAACAAAAAAAATTAATTAATTAAATTATTTAAAAATTATAACGAAATCAAAATAACTCTTATTAGAGTCTCCAACCATTATGGCCGAATTGGAGTAGATCATATCTAGATATAAACTAATTACATTACTTACATCGGTTATAAACAGCCATATTGTCGTTAAGTTTGTTTTCTGAAAAGCGTTTTTCAGTGGCAACTTATATCCGCTCTATTTTGTAATGCGCTATAATAAGGACAGCTGAAATACGTTTGTCTCTTTTGGCATATTCATCTGTATGGTCCAGTGTGTATTGACTGATGGTTGTATTTCAACTACACTGGACCTTCTGAGAACCAAAATCTCATTAGCGATACGTAAGAAGAAGGTCGTCTCAGCCAATAGCTCTTCTGCGCCATAAGAATTTAGTTTCTTTCATTGGGCACTCGAAAGTCCGAAACTATGTTCGAACTACGAAAGCCGCATTATTATTCCTGATATTTAGCAGAACTCCGGAACTATTTTCTGATTAAGTTGTGCTTTTTGGGTGGACAGTCGGTTGTTAGAAATCTGAGATTTGCGACGATTGCGCACCTTTTTTTTTTGTCGTGGATCTGTGCCTACACTAGCTCCTCGCAAATTTTTAGCATCTGCGCCTAACCTCACCTCATAGAACTATCTACCCGATTCAAAAGCATGTCGACATTCACTGCTTATTTTTGTTATTATATATTGTTATTGTTCTCCAATTAGGGTAGATAGCATACACCTATACTATGCTATGCTGAGAGCTTTTAAACGAAAAGGCGTTGCTATCAGTTGACATGTAGTCTGTGTTCTTTTGAAGATTAATGGGCAAACGGAAAAATGATTCGGCTTTCTTTGATTTGCTGCATTCTGACGTAATACAACAGGAAATCAACAGTTCCTATTATAATATCAAGATCAAGCGAACTCATACGTAGGTCAGCCTTCTCTATAAGAAGCAGCCACAATTGTGCATCTACAACACTTCTTTGGGCCTTATAAAGTAGGGGGCACCTTTTTAAGGGTGTGATGCTCAACAGTGCTTAGCCGATTTGACGTAAGTTGATTGAAGAATGCGCCTCTACTGTTTCAACCAATGATAAACTTATATACCTAATGCTATGGTCAAAAATCTAAACAATAAATACACAATTTGAACACGAAGCTCTAGCCGCACGCCGATAAAGTTTCAGTTTTCGACTAAGGCGCAATATTCCTGCCTGTGTAGGTATAGTTCCTGAAAACCTTTGTGAAAATGCCTCACAAAAATATTTAAATGTATTTATAAATTTAATACTTCTCCAAAATACACAACAGATTGGGCCTTTCTTTATTGGTTTGTTATCCGTAGGCATCTCTGTGTTCGTTGAGCCTGATTCCTACACGTGATTGTTGGCATAAGTTAGCTACACTTGTCTGGTAGCTAAAAGACGTTCACCTCCCCTTATGGTTCTTACAGGTTAATGACAAACATTTTCAACAACCCTCATATCGAGAAATCGTTCAAGGACCGGATGAAGGGCGCTGCCGAAGGAGGGAAAAAGGCACGTTGTCCTTGAATTTCATGTAGATTGTTTTTAATTAAAAAGACTTCCTAATACCATCTGTGTTCCACATCGTTTTTGAATTCTCCCCTGCGTAATTGCTGAAATTGTTATAGCTTCATCTGTCTGCTCAAAATGAGAATAAGTAAGGTGTTCATAATATAATCTGTTTTGGTACTATCTCTACGCAGGATCCTACCTCATGTATTCGCTATCGGTGTGGTCTCGAAGGCACTGTCGTCCCCACTAGTGGAGAGGGTAAGGATGATGCGACTTCAGCAACTTCCCGTATTAAAAAGCCTATATCGGCTAATAACAGTCGTGGAATAGGATTTGGTAGAGCGAAACGTCGAAAGCACAAGCACAATCCTCCGTCCGAATCACCAGCAGCGAGAATTCCCGCCTTTTTTTAATCTTAAAGTCAACTTTGGGCTATTCGCAGGTTGCTGTACATCTCGACCGTGCCTTATTCTACTATGAAATTTAGTTTAAAGACACTTGTGCTCTAGTTAATCAGCAATAAGGTTAGCCATGTTATTATCAATGTAGGTGGCAGCATTGAAGTGGTGTCCCTTGCCTAGCGTTGATGCAATTTCTTTGACATTCTACATAATTTGACTGCATAACACATACACCTGTACACATACTACGCCTGTAATTAACTTCAAGCAATAATCTCTATGAAAACATTGACTACGTGGGAACTGTCAGTTTCTCGGTACATTTACATATACCTCGGTATATGTCCTGCCTTCACCCCTAATATTTGGCGTTTGAGTCAATATACAACTTATGCTCTCACAGTGAGATCATAGCAGTTAATTTTTCTACAAACGAGATCGTCGCCCAATAAAATAAACACACATCTTTCATATTACACTCCGAAGACTCGATACCACATAGTAGACTTTGGAATCCTAGCAATAGCTTATTCGATGCTTATTTTTCTCTTGTTAAGGAAAAACAACATAGCAATAATTTCAAAAAAAAAAACATGACATTTATATTAGAGTACGTTTGCTATTAAACAATTTAAGCATGAATTTAGGTTATAAATATATAGTACTTATCATTTTACGTTTGCTGACATCTCTCGCTGCCTCAGACTGTATCGACACTGCTGGTAGACATAAAAATTGCGAGTAAATGAGACAAAGCTGAATGACAGCTTGTTGATTAACAATCTGCATGAAATTTCTGATGACTGTTCACTTCAGAAATATTGAGGTCAGAATTTTACAACTACGTCTTAAATAATTGACATTTCTTCATGCGGCAAAACACTGGAAGATACGAGTATGACTACTATTTTGTGAAGCGTTGAATTAGTTTACACACAATCATTTGTCGCGTCGCTTGGGTGGACCATTCAGGAGGTTGACTATGGAGCTAGTTTCGATGGAAGTCATTTATGTTAACGCATTAGTTAAATAAAGATATATAATATATATATATATATAATAATAATAATTAATAATAAAATAAAAAAATATTTTGATAT